CCTTTTAATGCTTGCTTGGAAAACATTCAATTTGGAAAAAAAATTATACTTGCTTCCACCTCTTTGGCTCCACCCACTGCTGGCATGCCACCTCAGGACCCTTCCTTAATTGGAATTCAGTTCCCGGGCTGACAAGTGACCTTCACAAGGGCAAGAACCTGGGTTTTGAGGTTCATGTCCATTTGTATGCATGTCACCACACCACAGGTGTGGATTCCTCTTTCACCAGCTGGTGCACACCTCCTCTTCCTCCTCTTTTTAACCTTCCATATTGTAATTCACTATATAATTTCTGGAACTACACTGCCATCTAGTGAATATTAAATGAAAAGACTATGGAACTAGTTTTTATTGCTGGTCGAAAGATGTTTTGCTAATCAAGAAATTCAGGAAGTAATCCTGGGGGAAAAACCTGAAATACAACGTTGCATGTCCTCAGTATTTAGTGAATGGCCAGTTGCAGGCTGTAGCTCTACAAGAAGCTGGCTGGACAGCTCAGTGAGTTGCTTCCAGCTGTGGAGCCAGAGGCTGAGATATGAGTTCTCCACTGTGCATCCAAAAAAAAATCAGCTTGTGTGGCCTTGGGCAAGCTGCGCAGTCCCAGGACGTCTCCAGAAGAAAGGAATGATAAACCACTTCAGAATACTCTCTACCAAGCAAACCCAAAGAGAGTCAACATAGAGATAACTACTGTAGAAACAGCGAGGCAAAGCTGATCCAGAGAAGCAAAATGAATGAATAGATAAAATGAAACCCAAACTCTAAAATTCACAGACAGGAAAATATTTTTATCAGGACCAATTGTAGATGCACAAAAAAAACCAAGATTTCAAGCTCTGCTTCATCAGAGAACATGGAAAAAATGGGGATGCCCCAGGAGTTTCAATCAACTGAAGGCAAAGAAAATCTCAGATTAGAAATGGATCTTCCCAAGACAGAGAGCCATGAAAAGTATTATATCTGGCAAAACCATTGAAAGGAGATAAAATGGAGATTCCCATTCTCTGGGAACAAAGACAATAGCATCCTCCATTTACATTAGCTGTGGGTGCAACACACAAGTTCTTTTGTCTGCTTTAGTAGAGGTGCAAAGAAACCCTAGTACTTGTATAGTAAAGCTGGAAATTAAAGTTTAATTCTAGGACTAATTCCAGTCCTATAACCAAAATTGTAATCCCAGTCCTAATTAATTTTTTATGTATGCATAAGATTCCCGTGGTGATAAAATGTAGTGAGCCATGAGGAAAACTGGGGTATAAATGGAACAAATAATAAATAAAATCAAATTACGTAGTGCTGTGTTCGAGCATTTAATTTCTGTATGCGGTTCATTATTTTTCCTAAGAAAGAGTCCTTAAGGCAACAAAGAACAGTCGTGGCCCGCTTAATAGTACTTAAATGACCCAAAATAACCCTACAGTTTCGTTGTTGTTTTATTTTTGTGACTTTGTTTTAATCTTCTCCTGGTTTAAATTGTTTTGTGAACCTCTTTGGGTCCGAATTTTGGAAGAAAGGTGGCATAAAATAAAATAAATGAAGACATACATATTGGACATCTATTCTGAAATCCTATTCAGAAATATATTTAGTAACAGTAAATTCGGGGAGCAGTCTTCTATAAAATTCATGATGTGGCCTTGGCATATCCAATAAGTCTCAGCAGGGGCAGCCCGAGGCATTTTGCTGCCTAAAGGGACATACAAGACAGAACTGGGTGTTGAATTGTATTCCAGTGTCATTGATGGAAAACCATCTGTTTATAACAGCTACTGGAAGCCTAGTTTGGGGATGTAAGTAGTCTGTGTGGCACAGAGCAGGTTACCTTTGTTGTAAACTTTATGACTATTGTACCTGCTATTTGCAGGTTACCTGAGGACTGACATAGAAACAACTTCCATAAATAGCCAGGGTATAGGACAGTGGTGGTGAACCTTTTTGGGCGCATGTGCCAAAACTAGACAAAAAAACTGTGGCTGGTGTGTCATGGTGGCGGCAGAACTGGAACTGGCAGCCGTGGAACCGGAAGTGGCAGCGGAAGGGGAATCCCGGCACAGAGGTGCCTCAAGACCCCACTCCGGATCCGCTGCCAGCACCACCTGCTCCGGATCCGCCTGCCGAAGTGCCGGCCTGCAAGTGCCAGCTGCAATGGCCTTCTCAGGTTTGGCTGCACGGAGGTAGGGGGGAGTAGCGATCTGGTGACTTATGGCTTGTGTGCCGGCAGAAAGGGGTCCGCATGCCAACTGTGGCACGCGTGCCACAGATTCGCCATCACTGATATATGATAACTAATAGCCCTGGTGGCTTGTTTGTGGATAGGTGACCAGTTTGAGTAGGCTTGCCTTGAGAAAAGTCATCAAATGCTGCATCCACCATTCATTCACGTTATTCTTCTTGCAGCCACTACTATTTTTCTCATCACTCATAATGGATAAGCTGTAGAGTACTAGAATGTGTTTTGTGCAATGAAATGCTTTTAATAGTATAATAGTAATAACTTTTATCTATAAACGTTAGAGCTTTATGAACTTTGATACTCCATCAAGCATGAACTTTAGTCTCTTTTTCATGACCGGAACCATTTACTTCTAAAAAGTTGCTCTTGATATCATAATTAACATGAAAGTATTGAACAAAAGCTTGCAGAGAGGAAAAAAAGAGATGAAAAATGTGGCACTTTAAGGACGAATAAGTGTTCTCTGACATAGCTTTCATGTATTGTATCTCATTTCTTCAGTGCATGGAGTACAGCTCCAATAGAAAAAAACATCTACACAGACATGGAGAAGAAAGGAATATGAATTGTGAGTGAAAGTCAGAGATTCAGCATTGTGAAGGTCTTATTGGTACTTGATAATCATTTCTTGTTAATAGTATTGGGTGTGTGTGACATGAATAGATTTTAATGGTGTACACAGTTGACACAGAATGAAATTAGAGGGCACAATAGGAACAAAGTGCAAAAATTAGAAATAGAGAAAATTCCCATCTTAGTTTTTCCAATACTTAAGTTAAACTGGATACCAAGTGTGGCATAATGAACAGAGGACTCATCAGACCTGGGTTTCAATCCTTGCTCAGCCATGGGAACTCACTGGGGCAGTGGGACTGGTAAAACTATCCCTTAAATATCTTACTTACTCTCCACCGAAATCACCAGCAGGGCTGGCAATTGATGACAACTCCAAAGAGGGAAAAGAGTCAGA